GGGTCATTAAGCTCACTAACTGACTTCAGGATCAGAACTTTTTAATAACCGCAGTAAGCACTCTTTTAGCATTTATTTCTCATTTCAGGGATGGGGAGATGTGATTACCATTCAAAAATCTGCAGTTATTTTTGCTGTTCATAATTGCAGAGGGAGCTTTTTATTTTTAAGACTGTTTAAAAAACATTTGAAAGCAGTCTGTGCAGTAATTTCGGAGGCTTCCTTTTTCCTTTGTGTTAACTGACGCCTTTAGAAAGCTGTAGAGGACAAACACGCGAGCAAATATTTCAAAATAAGGAATAGAGTAGTTATTGAATAAACCCAGAATCAGTGCTTATAGCACACTTTTCACTGAAACTGTTTCTATTAGAGATAAACCTGTTAAGCGCTGAGGAACTAAGTGCTGAGCAGAGAAAGTTGTTTCGTTGCTTCAGAAATGAATGAGCCGAGTCTAGGCTCTAGGCTTCTAGTCTAGGCTAGAGCACTGCTGGTTTTACAAGTGAATTATTTGCAGTTTGAAGGACTCTGCCTACTCTGGCCTCTTTTCTAAAAACGAGGAGCTGACAGCCCTGCGTGTCTGCAGTCAAGGTTTGCAAGGATGTTTTGTATTTTGCTGAACAGAAACTCCTGCCTGTTATCAAGAGGGACAGGGTTTTTTTTCGGCAGGACGAGAGACGTTTTAGCAACGGTGTTTGTAGGTGGTGGGGGCTTTCTTCCAGTCCTTCAGGCTGTAGTGGGCAGGTTTGTTAGAAGCTCAGCAAGAGAAAGGAGGCAGAGAGATTTTTTGGGGGGGAGTTGGTGGCACCTTTATTGCCTCTGGCTTGCAGGGGCACACCGTGCCGTGGGACAGTGTTGGCAGGGAGCAGCCGGAGACTGCACGCATCAAAAGTCAGTAATGTTGTGAAAACGTTCCCGTTTGGGAGGACTAGGGGAGGAGGAAACTCAATATCCTGCTAAGTCGCAGCATCTGCTTTCAGACAGCTCGTGGTGGAGAGTTTCGTTCAAAAACTGGAAATTGGGAGTCCCCACAAGCACTCTGTGGATCCGTGAGCTTTAGGAAGGCACCGCAGCGAAGGAAGGTCTTGTTTTATTCACTCGGCAGGACTGCAGGGCAAAGGGAAGGGAGAAAACCAGATCTATGTGGAAAATGTCACTTGGGCTGTAACCTGAACCTCGCAAAATGAGCCTTTCGGGTGGCTCCGTGACCCTCCGAAACTCCTCGCTCTCTGGCTGCTATTATTGCAGCCAATTTCCAAATAAAACAGGCTTTTGTCGTCGCCGGCCTCACGGAGCCACAGTGAAACTTGTGCGGCGCGACGCAGGCGGCCGAGGCGCGGGTCAAAGAGCAGCGGAGCCGGCCGCCGCGGCGCCCCGCAGCCCCCAGCGGAAGGAAAACCGCCCCGGAAAATGCAAATGGGAAGAAGAGAGTTTCCTCCTCGTCCTCCTTGGAGAGCCAGGAAGGGCTATGCAGGTGGAGCGAGCTCCTTGGGACACAGGGGGAGAGCGCAAGCAAGGAGAAGTTAGCTTTCAAAAAATCATAAATACCGGCGGCTTTAAACTTATGTTTGCCCAACTGTTCAAACGTTTCTTCCATGCCAGATCCTCCCCTTTGCAAAAAAAAAAAAAAACCCTGTAAGGGCGATTTGTGCATATGTACCGTTTTGCCAAACTCCCCGCAGCACCGCTCCTGGGCCAGGAGATGGGTGCAACTTGTACGCCCAGAGATCCTGTTTCGTTCGTGCCACTGTCAGTTCTGCTGTTTAGCGAGGGGAAAGAAAAAAACCCTCCACATCTGAACAGATTTATCAATACATGAAGCACGTCTCTTTATGCAAGCCTTTAAGCCTGCGTGGAACTTTACTCCCAAGAGTAAAGTCAGGCAGGTGTTTTATGAAGTTTTATGATTAGTTGTATTTTGAGAAAACTGAGTTTGAGAAGCACTGAATATGAAAATACCTGATGATTTAAGTCCTGATTCCCGTGTACTTTTAAAGATTGGAGTGCTTTAGTCTTTTGGGTTTTTTTTTTTTCTCCCTTAAGAGAGGTGAACGCGCACATATAGGAAAAGGGATAGTGAGAGCCTTTCTGCTAACTTTTTTGTTCCTTCATTTTTGCTGATACTACATCAAACCAGCACTTTGGAAAATCAAATAGTGATTAAAAGTTCTTCGATCAAAGGAAGAAACAGATGCACTGAAGAAATCATTCCTATGCCTGTGTGTGTCTCAGGCCATAGCTAACTTGGAGTTTTGCTAGCAAGGAATTCTAGAAAGTGATTTATAAATGTAGCGGGAGTGCATTGTGTTCTCTCAAGGCAACGTACATTAATAGTTTTGATCTGATCGGCTCTTACGAATTCCAGGTTTGGGATGCAGGAAGAAACTTGAAAGTGAATGCTGCTGCCTTTTTTTTTTTTTTAAAGCCTAGTAGTTTGGAATAGACTATAATGCAAAGTAAAGCGTTGTGTTACAAAGGCAGGGAGGATGGGACAGAAGGTTAAAGGGCATCCTGGAAACAAACAGCTGGACCAGTTTATTTAAACAGATACAAGGATGGGGAGCTGACCTCCGTTTGACTTCCAGTGGGAGGAGCAAGAATGTCATTTTATTACTTTGCCCAGAAGGAAAATGTTCTTGCGTCTGAATTCACCCTGAAGACATCCAAACACAGGGCTGTTTTGCAGAACAGCTACTTATATAAAATACTTACAAGGCTGCGTAGGAAGACGATGACTGTTAAGTACCTGCGTGTAAAATGTTCTGAAAGCAGACACCCCGAGTGCTTGTGTGGGGCAAACAGGTGAGAAGATGTTTCACTGTAGGCGCGTCCGATGGGTAATTATTGGGAAATGCCACCTAAGCAGTTTCTAGCAACGTGAACCCTGCTCCCCTACCATATTAAAAGTGCTTGGGCTTTGGTGGAGAAGAAAGAGAAGGTGGGAAAGTTTGAGTGTGCACACTAGTGAATGTCCTTGCAGGGTTTCTTTCTGGTCTGGGTGAAAGCTTTTGGCAAATGAAGATTTCTGGCAATCTCAAGCGGCCACCCAAACCCTCCCTTCTTGCTTCTCCCTGGTGCTGCCACAGTAGCAGAAGCGGCTGGGGCACCGAGGTCGGTGTTGTTGTTTTACTTAGGAGAGCTACTGTGGAAATTGCTTTCTGCAAATGTAGATTACAGATATTAAACAATTTTCTAATTGGTCATGGAGCTAAGGCAGCTAATGGGGGAAAAAAGCAGATTTTTTTAATTGCTTATTTCACATGGTGTTTGTGCTACACCTGTGCTTATAATGAGAAAGGAGAATTAGTCTAACCTTCTGCTCACATGATTCTGATTTCCATGGTTTGTACAAGATAATGATAAACTGATTTGCAACACCGTTTGCTGGAGTTTCGGCTTTTTTTATTAGAAGCGTGCATAAAAATTGCTACAATACTGTCGCTGACAAAATACGACCTAATTCAGGTGTGAGGTTTCCGCAAGAGCACCCAGAGTTTGTGGCTTCACATGGTGGAACCGCCCGAGCACGTTTGGTCGAGACAGGTTTGATTAGGACTCACGTCTTGATTAATTTTTGCAGGACTTGGCGCAGCGGAAGTCGGCCAGGGCTGGGAGCTATGGGGAGACTGGAATGGCTGGGGGAGGCTCTGAGTGTGGGAAACCGCGCAGGCAGCGTAGCGCATGCGCTG